TTTTTATAAATCTTGTATAAAATAGTTTTAAAATATAAAAGAAAAATGTATCTCTAAAATATTTACATATGTTTTATATATATATTACTTTGTTCGAATACCACATGATTACTTTTTCTTATGGTTCAAAACTTTTAGAAATAGATTTCTCGAGTGATATCGTGGCATTGAAAAACGAAACGCTGTTGGAGAAAACGTCACACAGCTGCTTATCTTCAATTGTCATCGTTCGAGCTGATAAGCATACTGTTCGCATACAATAACCGACGCGATTCGATGCTTTGGATTAATTCGGTCAATACTGGGATACCCGCATATATCTCGAATAATATTCGTAAATTCGATTAACAACGCGGTTGACGGGAATAATACAATCGTTTCCGTAAAGTCGGAGGTAGTCTGAGATTTTTTGCGAGAAGGAAAAAAAAATGATTTGATTATTCAAATATTGTTAGAAATGTTTAACTCCAGCGAGACCGTTTGTGAGGATATATTTGAATTTTCCGAGCATATAAACGGTATATTGAATACATCGGATACGTTCCTCTACCGCGTGACGTGAAGAGCGCGCTTCCACCTCCAAGGTGAGGAAGTTCGATGGGGAAGGAAGAAAGGGTTCGCATACAATAACCGACGCGATTCGATGCTTTGGATTAATTCGGTCAATACTGGGATACCCGCATATATCTCGAATAATATTCGTAAATTCGATTAACAACGCGGTTGACGGGAATAATACAATCGTTTCCGTAAAGTCGGAGGTAGTCTGAGATTTTTTGCGAGAAGGAAAAAAAAATGATTTGATTATTCAAATATTGTTAGAAATGTTTAACTCCAGCGAGACCGTTTGTGAGGATATATTTGAATTTTCCGAGCATATAAACGGTATATTGAATACATCGGATACGTTCCTCTACCGCGTGACGTGAAGAGCGCGCTTCCACCTCCAAGGTGAGGAAGTTCGATGGGGAAGGAAGAAAGGAAGGAAGGAAGGAAGGAAAGGAAGGAGAGACGCCGCCGACTTTGTAACAAGTTCGAATTCCCACAGCGGCGTAGACACACCTACGCTTGCCCGACACGATAAAGACGGGCAGAAGAAAAGGAAGAAGAAGACAATATAAGAATAAAAGAGACGAAGAACTTACCATGTGAACGTTGGAGAGTCCGACCGAGTCGTTCTGCTTCTTGTCCGTCTTCTTAGCCTGCCGCTTTGCCTTGCTCTCTAGGAAACGTTGCTTCAGCACCTGGGTGTCATATGTATTCTGCTCGCACAATCCGTTGAAGCTCTGATCGAACCTGGGGATGCAGTCGGTCTGTCTGCGGCGATAACTCTCGATTCTGCGTCGCAAACGGTCCACGACCGCCTGCCTCTTCGGGGTGAGCACCTCACCCATACCGGGTGCTTGGCCCATTTGTTGCTGCTGCTGTTGCTGAAGATGCAACTGCTGTTGGCTGCTTAAGCCTAACTGACCGGCGTTCAACTCGTGGATCGCAGATTGGCTGAGGACGTTGCCGGCGCCGGGTACGTTACCGGTGTGCCCGTTCGGGCCCTGGCCCGCGCACACGGAGATGGTGCCGGGGGGGCCTTGCGGGGGCTGACGGGACAGGAGCCCCCCGGCCTCCATACAGCCCCCTAAATCTACCGCAGGATAAGCCAGTTCTCAATTAAAGCCACCGAGGTGGTCGTTGATAACGCGCGATGCCGGCCGCGCGACCTCGTCGTCCTCTACCACCGGCTGCACCGCTGTCTGCGTGCCTAGCATTCTCCAATCCGCTGGCGTGTCGACGATCGTGCCTGACTTCCGGCAGGGAAGCATCTGGCCCGCGTATTAACCGCGCACACGGGGCGCAACCCGGACTTGACCGCGGTCAAGATCGATGCTCTTCGCCGAGACTCCTTTTGAAAGAACGACGCACTTGCTGCCAAAGTAAATATTACGATGAGAAAGAGATACCCTTACATCGGCGTGACGAATGTAACGGTTACGACGGAGAGATTTCAGAGCTACCGCACACACGTACACACTCGCGAACTCTCCCGCGCGATACGCGTATCGTGACGCGATGATGCCACCGGCGCGCGGCGTCGACGCGACTCGTCAATGAACGCGGCGCGTTCCGCCTTTTGTTCGTGATCCACGTGACCGCGCGCGCGATAGTGCGCGCGTCGTCGCACGGCCCGCTCACCGAACTCTGTTGTGCTTCAGTGTGCTCTCCTTCCTCCGGTATTATTTCGAAACTCCGAATACGATTATCGCGTTCCGCGCTCCTCGATCAAGCAGTTACATTCGCGCGGCTACATTCACGGCTGTATTCGTAGCGTCGCGTTAACGTAGAGAAGCGCTATATTCAATTCGGATGTGCGCGCTCGAATTTTGCCGTATTTATATTTTCACGCGAAATGTTTATGATATATATATATTACATATACGCACGTGTAATACACGTCACTTGGAGTCCGACGTTGCGCCAGAGTCCGCTCGAAATATCGGGTTCACAAACTGTCACTCTCGACAACGCGCGCAACAGAAGATTTGACGACGGTGGGACGGAAGGTTCGCCGCGCGCGACTAACTTCTCGATAAGAGCCCGCTCGAGTCCTTTCTCCCGTTCGCTCTCTCTCACTTCATCTCACGGACGCGCGTGTTGTCCCTCTCTCGTTCACTCGTTCTCCGTTTCTCGCTTCCCCTCGCGTGTATTGCTCTCGTCACGGAGATGCTGGCGTAAGAAAGAGGGAGGGATGGGGACCACCGCGACACACACGAGCCTTTCGCGGCTTCGCACAATCAGGGTTCACCGTGAATTCAGTCGCGTTGCTCTGCGCTTTTCGACGCACGAAAATCTTCTCGACGTTCTCGATGTTATCGACGCGTCCAATGATCGTCGTTAGATGAAGGAAACACACTGAGTAAACACCGACGCGACGCTAGATATTTACTCTGACGGATTTGTTCGGTTGCGTCGAGAGCGCTGGACGTCACAACAGGTAGTTGAGCGAGGGCAGCGTGCTGCCGCTTGTCCGGAGAAAGAGAAGAAAAGAGAGCGGGTGGGAGCGAGAGGTCGTGAAACGGCACCGCGGAAGAGAGACGCCCTCTATCGGACAAAATGAGAAGGAAACATACGGCGGCGAACGGCTGGTTGGGAGAGGAGAGGGGAGAGGGCGTGCGCGCGCGCGAAGAAGGAGAGAGGTCGGGAGCGAGAAGGAACGAATGATCGTGGAAGACGGTAGCGAAGAAAGAGAGGGAAATAGAGCGGGTTCCAACGTTCGGCCGAGTTCCTCCTGCGCGCACTCGCACGAGATGCAGCTTCAAGTTCGCCGCGCGCGCGAGGAACTACGACGAGTCCGTCTCTTCACCTTTCTCCGGAATCTATCTTTTTTCTCATCGCGCTGTCCCGTTCTCTTCTCGCGTGTTTCCTCTCCATGTCGCTTTCTCTCTCTCTCTCTCTCTCTTTCTTTTGTCCCTTGTTACTCCGAGATCGAGCACTCCGCGATCGATGATCCGAATCTCGTTATTTCGAAGCTAATACTACCGTGAACGCGCTTGTTCGCGAGAAACATTCCGGAATTTATCAGAGTCGTTTCCGCACTACCGAGCGTCGTCTAGCCGATGCGCCGGTTGACACGCGCGAAATTCGTTTTTCACGCAACACGATCGTCGTACAGTCCAACGTACGCCGTCGCGCATTCTGATCGCGCACGTTGCGCGGATGTTCGTTCACTGGCACACACACGCACACGATTCGAACCGTCGCGGATAAATCACATAGCATCGAGCGTTGGCATCAAACGCGGCCGCGCGCGAGCGATCGTACCAAACAATTGCATAACCTAACTTCACTCGTGTCGCGCACACACGCACGCAAGCGCGCGCGCGCGCGCCTCTCGACGCAGCTGACTCGGCGTGCTTCGATGATTCTCTCTTTGTCTCTTTCTATCCCTGTCCTTGTCACATGGATGCTCGCGCGCGATCGCATCCGGCAACGAAACGAAAGACCGTGCGCTCTTGCTTCTATCGAACGTACGATGCCATTAACGGAACTGCGCGTAGGGATAGAACGAGTACATGTATCGTTCAAACGGCGAACCATAATTACTGCCGCCGCGACGCGATCGCACTCTGGCGGCGACGCGGAAAACCGCTAGAAACGTCGACTGCCGATCGTCTTCATTCAAAGTGGTGTCATCACTTGACTGATATCAAAACTACGTTGAATAACGATCGATTATAGGATAATGGTCGCAAAAATATGTATAACACGTGAACCTAACCTAACATAACCTAACCTAACCTAACCTAAAATAATCTGTATACATATTGACAGGTAAATGATCATTTTTCTTATATTTATTATACATATTCATATATGTTTATAGTAAAGATATAAAGTTCTAATATAAAAAATGTAATTATTGTGATATTTCTGGATAAAATATAATATAATGAGCATTTTTTTAGATTAAACTGTATATATAAATGTTTAATTACTTTTCAGATAATATTTATATACAAATGGCTTCAGGCACAAAAGAAATGATTACCGAAACGACAAAAATTAAAACTAAATTTCCGGTGATACCAGGCACAAAGCCGTCTATAAGAAATGCGCAGTTGCTTATTTCAACAGGGATACTTTCATTAGATAATATAATAGGTTTGTGTACATGTGCTATTTTGTTTTTTGTTTTTTGTTTTTTGTTTTTTTACAAAATAATCGTATTTCTATAATTTTAATTATCTTTTTCAGGTGGAGGTTTACCCATTGGTTCAATACTTTTAATTGGTACATATTCAAATAAGTTTATTGTTATTAATATAATCTATATGTAAACTTTGTAAATATTTTGTATATAAGCTATATATGTGACTAAAATTACAGAAGAAGACAAGTATGGTATCTATGCTAAAACTGCATTAAAATACTGTATGGCAGAGGGAGTGGTCACATCTCAGCCTATATTAATTGCCTCACAAGATGTCCAACCTTCCCAATTTGTATCAGAATTGCCCGCAGTTATAAACGATTCAGATCTGTATACAAAAACTGTAGATAATGCAGATGAACAAATGAAAATTGCTTGGCGATATCAAAACATGAAAGTAATAGACTCGTCTCCTATGGCAAATCAAATCTTTGGTCATTACTACGATCTTACGAAACCAATGCAACAAGATCTTTTAGAACAAGCAGATATAAAACAATGGTATGAAAATAATCTACAGTGGCAAAATAATCTATTTGAAAACACTGCATACACTGACTTGTTATATACCATTCAAGAAACTTTACATAATGGGCAATATTTTATCTCTGAAACAACAGACAAGAAAAAAATTTTAAGAATTATTATACATTCTCTGGGATCCAGATTATGGCTTTCTGATACAGAGAAATCTTCAAATCGAGATTTGTTAAAATTCTTGTATTGCTTCAGAGCACTTTTGAGGAATTCGTACGCAGTCGGTGTAATAACAGTTCCAATTAATAATTTCGACAACACTGTAAGTTTTGAAAACTAATTTCTATTATAGTGATCAATTTTATAATATATATTTTTTTTCTAGGATGCTGTCATTGAGAGAATTGAACACATGTCGGACATAGCAGTCAGATTAGAGTCATTTGCAGGATCTGCCAAAGAGACCAATCCATTGTTCAAAGATTATCATGGTCTTTTGCATATTGAAAAATTGTCTGCATTAAATACATTGGCACCTCGCTGTGCAGAATTTAGAGATTTAGCGTTTAAATTACGTCGTAAAAAATTTGTCATAGAAGTTAGTCAAGTTAATGATTTTATTTGATTAAGTTTTTTATATTGGTATTGATATGAATTTTTATACTATTTATTTTGTCTTTAGGTTCTACATTTGCCACCTGAATTTGAGGACACAGCACAACGGGAGCAAGATGAGGCAATAGTATCCTCTACTGGATGTATGAGTGGATCTCATAAAAATGTATTAGAATTCTAAGTTTAAACTTTATAAAAAATTGAATTTGATAAATTAACATATATATTTATATCTAGTTTAATCGGAATAAAGATTTATATTTTACAATTTTGATTCTATTCTCTCATCTAATATATTTTCTATAAAAATATACACAATTATTTATGTTATTACAACTTCCATCTCTTACTAATATCATTATTTTGAATATTCGATACATAATCTCCAGAATGATTATTTATTATATATAGGTTGTATATGTATCAATATTTACATTCACATAAACAACCATATGTTTTTCCATGACCTTTCTCTTTTATCTTTTATGTATATTTGTCGAAATAGTTTTTTTCTTATATTTAGTAACACACGATCTGTGATACAAAATGAACTTCATGTCAAAGAGAACCTGTGACTGGGGATGGGAATATTTCAAATTAGAAGGCATCGATTATGAAGCAAAATGCTGCATTTGTAATAAAATTTATCAAGCTTATAGTACAAAAAATTTTAGAATCCACATAATGGTTCAACATAATAAAGTTTATCAAAGTGATGCCGGAAGAGAAGCTAATTGGGAACAGCAATTTTGTATAATACAAAATGATAATATTAAATGTAAACTTTGTGATAGCAGTTTTCCTCTATCAAAAACTATTATGGCTCCTATGAAAAAACACTTATTCGAAATGCATGATGTTACCGAACATACAACGGTAGCTCTCCGTAATTGGATGTCAAAACATTTCATAATAATAAACGGACAAATGACATGCAAGTCTTGCAATTATATTTACGGAAGAAACAATCTTTACAATTCAATGAAACATTTAATCGATGCTCATCTGATTAACGTGCCTTTGGAAATTAAACCACGAGAATAAGAAGATAAGAAAAATAACAGTAAGTTCTATAAACGTTCTATTACTAATTTACTTCCTTTAAATCATTCATATATACTCTATCTTATATACACGGGGACAGGAAT